GGTATATGGAAATACTCTGTCCTATCTCCCCAACTGCTCTGTCAACAACTATTCTACAATAAAAGTTTTGTGTTTTTCGTTTTTCATGGAACGCTTCACAAATTGGCATGTCATACCTAGCTAGGGGCCACGCTAAGCTTCTCTGTAGCTTTCCAATTTTAGCATATGTGCTGCCGAAGCAAGCACAGAAAGGTTATGGTTTAAATGGCTGACATCTAAATACTTTTTCCCAAACACTTGTTATTGTTAATCAGTATTACTGATTGTTTAAATTCATTCATTCAACAAATCTTTCCTGAGGGGATGCTACATACATGTGGTTATTCTTAGCAAGCCCGCGGCCCCTGTGTTATAGTCTAGACGTGCTCCATAGGGCTTTCCAGGCTGTAATCCTAAAGAAACAACTCATCAGGCCTTTTCCTCTACAACGCCACTAGGTGGATTTGAACCTTCCACTGTTAGCCTAGCAGCTGGTTGCAAACTGCTCAACCCATCGAGGCTCCTCATGTGCTGTGTCCCAAGTACTATGGCGGACACCAAAGAGCCCTGGCAGAGTAGTGAGTAATGAGCTGGGTTGTTACCCGCAAGGTCAGCAGTGCAAATCTACCAGCTGCACTGACGGGAGAAAGATGACAATTTCTACTCGGTAAATAGTCACAGCCTCAGAAACCCTTTCCAGGGTCACGCTGAGTCAGGAACAACTAGACAGTTCACAAGCACCACCACCAGCATTGTAGGCATTAGGGATGCAGTAGTCAGTAAGACAAAAACTCAGGTTCACAGAGCTTACGCTTTAGTAGGGGAAGAATAAAGACAAATTGCGGGTGAGGGGAAGCGTGTACAACACGATTTGATAAGTAGGAAGCGGTCCAAATAGGAATTTATATTTCATCCGGGGTATGAACGAATTCAATATTTTCTAAATATCATTGTGATATTTATCACAGCATTGTTCAACATCACCAAAAATTAGAGATAACCCAAAACTCCATAAATGGGTGAACAGATACAAAGGAATCCCGCTTGGCAATGAAAAGGAAAGCGTTAACTGATAGATGAAACAATACAAATACATCTGGTATGAGTCCATCTGTTACAGAATGTCATCAGAGGTTTTGAGGGATGTGGGAATGGGCACCTCTGACTTCTCTAGTGGGGCTATAACAGCAACGCCACAAATGGGGAGGTGTTAACACATAGAAATGTATTTTCTCAGTTTAAGAGGCCAGAAGTCTGAATTCAGAATGCTGGCTCTAGAGGAAGGTTTTCTCGGACAGCACTAGTTTCTTCTGAGCTCCTGCTCGTGGGCTATCTTCACACAGTATGGCATCTCGTTTTCCATTTCTGCTCACTTGCTTGTTTAATCTACCTCAAAAGATTGACTCAAGACACAGTCTACACTTAGTACAGCAAAGACAACCTAGTTCCAAATGGGATTATAACCACAAGCAGAGAGGTTAGGATTTACAAGTCATTTTGAGGGGCAAAATTCTATCTATAGCAGGGAATGAGGGACTTCCTGGGTTGTACTTGAAATGTACTTTATCTGAATTCACATGGCGCTTACAGGATCATATACGTTTGTCAAAACTCAACAAATAGTACACTTAAATAGGCAGATTTTATTAATTATACCTCAATTTAATATTTTTTTAATCACTTGGCTGTGTGGAGAATAGATTGGAAAGGGGGAAACAGGCTGGGGTGCAAACAGAGTTAAACCATTATTTTGAACATAACTGAGTTTGAGATCCCTCTCAGATGCCCAAGTGGAGGATGTATTAAGCAGCTGGTTACAAATCTGCTTATGATCATAGTCTCTAATAGTGCTACACATGCTGAGTTGTAATTAAGTACCATGACGTTAGTTCTGACTCATAGTGACCATGTATAGGGTTTCCAAGATTTTAAATCGAGGGAGCAGAAAGCCTCATCTTTCTCCCATGGAGTGGCAGAAGGGCTCAAACTGCAGACCTTGTGGTCTGTAGTCCCGTGCTTATCGCATGGGCTCCTTCAGAGTAGACACCAACCTGTACTTTTCTCAGTACCCTGTGCTTTTCAATCATATAGCCAGATTCTCATCATCACAGAAAGTTCTGGATATTGTCCGAGATCAGGGGTGGGGAACCTTTTTTCTGCCAAAATTTATAACATCATTAGTGGACCATACAAAATTATCAACTTAAAAATTAGCCTGCTATTATTTGGTCAAACAGCTAATTAACCACTGTGGGTTAATGCACTGGACTGCAAAGTCTCTTTGAACCACAAAGTCAGCAGTTCAAACTCACCAGCTGCTCCTTGGAAACCCGACAGGGTCACTATGGGTCGGAATCGACTCATCAGCACCTAACACCTATATGATGGCTGAAACTGTGGTTGCCTTGGCAGGGCCAGAACAAATGATTTCAAGGGCCCATCCCTGCGACTGTTTCTAAGTTTCCTCACAGTGCTAACGCTCATTGATCCAATGATTCCAGGGCCACTTCAGAGGAGCCGGCATGCAACACAGGTTCTTAACTCTTAGTTGATGATGGTACCAAGACCTTGTCTTATCAAGCAGATAACATTTATGTAAACTGTAAAAAGGAATCTCACCTTTCAGGCTAGGGGTTTTCTCTGAAAAATCTTTTTAAAATCTATACATTTTTTAAAGATACAGAGTGTTTTGAACAAAGTTTATTGTTCCAGCATTTGTTTTTTGAAAGATAAACTGAAGATTTTTTTGACATTTCCATTTGACATTCATGAAATAGTTAATAAAACAGGTTCCCCACTACTCCACAATTCATTGGACTCAAACACAAAACCAACTGGACAGAAATTAGAAAGAAGAACAGAAACTTCCACAAGGCTGTTCAATTGCAATTTACTTTGTACCCCTTCCTATGACAACTGCTGCTTAGATTTAATCATCTGACAGGGCTTGAGAGCTTCCTAATAGAAGTGTTAGCACCCTCTCGGCAGGTTGCCCCAATTACATCTCCATAGTCAACTCAGGGTGAGACTACCAAGGTTTCTGTGAGAATTAAAGGGCTTACAGATTAGTAGCTTCCAAATTAGCAGGTTCTGAGACCCAATGCATGATTCCCTTCTGTCCCAGCCCCCAGTGAAAGCAATTAACAGAAGGGTAACAAGAGCTTGGCTCCTTTCCCTAGGAGTCTGGCGCCTCCCTTGGGAGAGCTGGCCTCAAAGTAGACATCAAGCTGGCAGTGCAAAGTGCTTCAAGATCCCTTCATCCAAATGCTACTGCTCAAATCCTCAGTGGGGGTTTTGCATCACAGTGCACCCCAGAGCAAGTTGTTAGAGGGCTCCTCCACTCACTCATCTTTAGAATAAAAAAGAAAATGGAATTTTCTAAAAAAGAAACCACCTCATCCCTTTATTTCCTTCCGTTTAGTATAAATCGCCTGAGGATCAACCTGGGAGGTGATCCGTAAACATCTATTGAATCAATGAGATGAAAGTCTAGCACACAGAAGGCACTACCCTCAACTCTGGGGTGGAGAAACGAAACATTTACTGTAGAATTATACTCTGAAGCCAAGTAGGGCAATGAGCTGAGCCAGGTCTTCTAGGTGGCAAGGTGGCCACATTATGGGAAGCCTTGGACAAGTCATTTGGGCTAGAAAGGAGCTAAAACTTATTTATCAAGTATGGTACTTTCAGGAATTAGGAAAGTGTCTTATCTAGAGCTGCTGTAACAGAAATATTCAGAAGTATTCAGAAATATAAAAAGTGTAAAGAGCGCCAGCTCTAGAGGAAGGCTTTAGCTGTCTTAGTGGACTCTGGGGAAATGTCCTAGTCTCCTTCAGCATCTGTGGGTCCGGCAATCCTTGGAGATCTCCAAGCATCAATTTTGTCGGGGATCTAGAAGCTTCACAGTGCAGGGACTCCAGGTATAAAGTATGCACTCCACTTAAGGATCTTCTTTCTTGGTGGTAGTAGATCCCTCTGATAAATTGCATCCCGCCTCCTTAACATCAAAGAAGTGAATATTTACAACACAAAGGATAACAATATCAGATCACAGGTGATTACACCAGATCACAACATAGAAACAGTTATATTAGATCTCTCATCATGGGCAATTGGAGTCCTGGTATGGTGCTGTGGGTTAACGAGTCAAACTGCAAAGCCATTTGAACCGCAAGGTTGGTGGTTCAAGCTCACCAACGGCTCCTTGGAAACTCTACACAGGATCGCTAGAGGTCGGAACTGACTCGATGGCACTTAACAACAACATGGGCAATTACTATACCTTAATTATCAAACCAGAGACAATCCAGGTCTAGCCAAATTGACACAAAACCCTATCAGAGAGGGAGGAAAATGTGGGTTTTAGCAATAGGCATCTAGAAGAACACTGGTAAAAACCCCTATGACATACAAATGTTTTCTGACTCTTACCAAGAGTCAGGGGGGCTACCTGTTCTAAATGTATTATCTCATAAAATCCTCGGCTAACCTTATGAGGTAGAAGTGATTCCCATCCTTCTACAAGTAAGAAAGCTGACATGCAGAGAGAGGGAGATAGGAGAATACATGCGACAGACCACACTCCTGTTCACTACACGGTATTTTTTCATTCTAATACACACACACACAACCCTGACAGCTGAAGCTCAGAATCAAGGCAACTTGTTCGACTTGCCCAAGTCACGAGGTGCGGTCCCGGATCTCAGGGAGCTAACACCGCCCGGGTCACCCAAGGCCTCCGTTCATCACGCGCGAGCAATCTAAGTGTTTCAGGGTCCCAGACGGATCTTACTACCCGAAATTCCCCATGTAGCACCGAAACACCATCCGTACCCACCCCAACCGACACCAACGGTCATCCAGGTTCCCCTCGCCCGCCCGAGTCTGACAGTTCCGGGTCCCCCTACCCATCCACCTAGCCCGAGTCTGGGGGTCTCCCCGCAGACCCCAGGGCGGCTAAGAGGCGTGGGGGAGGGGAGCCACGGCGCATGCCCAGACGACTCCATTTGGCCCCAGCTCACCTGCGAATCTCGGAACTCCACCACCACATTTTCGCTGCTCCATCGCGCCGCCATCTCCCCAGCCGAGCAGCCCGGGTCCCAGGAGGGCCTCCGCCCCCGGCAAACCCACCTTCCGGGGCTCTGAACACTCAACGCAACCCGCGAGTCAGTTCGGCCACACTCGGTCCCCGCCCTTCCCCCGGACCGCAAACCATTGGCTGGTCCACACTTAGGCTCTGCCCCCTCCTGTCAGTTTGTCCAATAGAAGCACCTCGCCTGCCAAACACAGGCCGGCCCCTTCTCACGTCCATTACTCAGCTTCGGTCACCCAGACGACTCACAGCCGCCGACCCACTCCTGGCGGCGAGTTCTGTCGGGAGTTGTAGTCCAAGTTCGAACAGTTGTTTGTAAACCAGGAAGCGCTCTGCGGCTAAGCTTGGTTCCTTGGCGGCATATGTTTCTATCCCCTCTCCTGTGGTCCCGGGATAGCCCAACTCCACTTTACAAACCAAAGGTTACCTTTTCTCCAGAGACATGTTCCTAAAGATATGGTACAGCTCCCAAAGTGCAGTCCTGCAATCCTTTCAGGCAAGAGGTCTCCAAAAGCAAAACAATGCCCATAATCATACTAAGAAATTATTTGCCTTTGTCTCCCTGATTCTCTCAGCAGTGTACAGTGGAGTTTTCCAGAGTCTACACAATACATTTTGCAGCAGATTGAATGTACAAATAGAGGTAACAATCCAGATGTTTTCTATTAAACCAGATCGTAAAGATAAGACATATTAAATAACAAATCCTCTCTTTTTGCTAATATTTGGTTAGGAAAAAAAATATTTTTCATTAAAAATGTGTTCTTTATGGTAATATGAAGTCATGTTTAAATGAAATAATAATCTTTTTTTATCCTTCCTTTTAATTGCTAATAGACTCTCACTATGGACAAATCTAACCCACATAAACTTTTAGGGAGGAATCCTGCGTAATTTTTAAGACACTCCTGCCATGAGCTCTGTAACATTTTTAAGAGCATTTTTGTTGTTCTGAGTTGCCTTGAGTTGTCTCCAACTCACAGCAATCCTATGATCAGCGGAGCGAATCAATGCCCAGTCCTGCGCCATCCTCACAATTGCTGCAGTTAAACCCAGTGCTTCTGCGACTGTGCCAATCCATCTCATTGAGGATCTGCCTCTTTTTCACTCATCCTGTACTTTACCAAGCACGATGTCCTTCTCCAGGACTGGTCCCTCCTAATAATATGTCCAAAGTATGAAACCCTCCTGGCTTCTAAGGAGCATTCTGGCCGGCTGTACTTCCAACACAGATTTGTTTGTTCTTCTGGCAGTCCATGGTTTTTTAATATTCTTCTCTAACCCCATAACTCAAATGCATCAATTCTTCTACAGTCTTCCTTATTCGTTGTCCAAATTTCACATGCATATAATGCAATTAAAAATAACATGGCTTGGGTCAGATTCACCTCAGTTCTTAAACTAAGATGTGCTTTGCAGCAGATGTGCCTAATGCAATATGTCATGTGACTTCTGGTTCCATGAGTGTTGTCTATGGATCCAAGTAAAATGAAATTTTTTCTCCATTTATCATGATGTTATATATTGTGTCAGTTGTGAGGATTTTTTTTTTAAGGTTTTTATTGTGGATTGAGTGAAAGTTTACAGGGCATATCATCAGTTTTACATTCATCAACTCATATACCCTGTTTCATTATAATGATTATACTCCCCTCCATGCAGCATCAGTTAACAGTATTTCTCTCTATCCACTTTAGCTTTAAAAAAAAACAACACACACACACACACACAAAAGACCCCATTCAAGCATATATAATAATTTACATCTCCAAAGGGTATATTCTGCAAGTCTGCTCCTGGCCACCAGCTCTTAGTCCCTCTCTTATTAGTCCATGAAATCTAGAGTCCTTAGCCACGCCCCATCTCCATGCCCCCATCTCTGCCTCCATCTGTGGCGCTGCTGCTTCTCTGGATAAGGTCCAACATTCTGCTTTTGCATTTTTCTCTTAATGGTCCTAGGGTCCTCTGTTTCTGGACTGTAAGATTAACCACTCCCCTTTTTTTGTTACAAAACTTCTACCTTTATAATTGTGACAGTCGCGATTAGTCATGATAATGATTATTCACTATTGAATCTTACTAATCTTATCCCCATCTCTTTTCACCAGACCCATCTAGACGAGATGAGAGCTATTCAGTGAGGACTCTTTTGTTCCCCCCATACTCTTAAACTAAACTCCCTCTTGAAACCTTGTAAGCCATCACTCTGTGCCTTTATTGCTACCTCATTTTAGGTAGCCAATGTCTAAGTTGCCCGTCCATGTCTACCCTGTGTACAGAGGAGATAGCATTGATACTTGATGTGAAGACTCTTTCCCTCTCTGTTGGTATTTAAAGTAACAACCGCTCTGAGTATAGGTCAGGTTCATCATGAAGATGTATCTTCTGTCACTGTAGCTGTTCCAGTCTGCTTGTCCTTTCTAGTGGGAATGTCTCACCTCACAAGGTTGTGGAGGGGACTCAGGATTCCACCTAAGGTCCTATACTCTGTAAAGGCTTTGCACGAGGCCTATTTCACTGGGCAAGTTGTAGAACCCCTTTGAGGTATTCCAATCAGTTATAGGCTGAAGGCGGGCTTACACGTTTTCTCTAATCATGTTTCCCAACATTCCTTTCTATCCCACTCAAGTGTCTATTTTACAATAGTAGGCAAGTGAAACTAATATTCGTAAGGCAGTCAAGGATTTTAGTATTATTTACCCTCTTCAAGCTATACCTAGATCCCTGTATCCCAGAGGTTGTTCCAAGGTTGAGTATGCATCACATTTACCTCTGTCCCACTAGGCCATGCAAACCTGTCTCAGTGTTTCCCTATCTATCTTGTTCTTCTGCCTCCTCCCCATTTCTTGTATTGCCCTCCCTAACACTCAAACTAGACCACCCCACCCCAACCCCATTGTGGTTACCTTATATTCCATTAGTTCTAGCCTCCATATAGAACAGTCTATTTTATCCAGTAATCTACCTGATCTTCCCACCATGTGGGTGTCTGTTCCTCTATGTTTACCTTTTTTCACATTGTAATTGTTTTGATCATAGACTGACCTCCCAGATCCTCTGTTCATTTTATTCTGTTCTTGACTCTTCCATTTGTCGATTAAGTTCAGGGTGATGCTGCCATGTATGTCATTCTGTAGTTGTTGTCTGTTCTTGTTGGTTCTCAGTCCACAGAACTTCCTTTAGAACGTTTTTCATAGCAGGGTTGGCTTTGGTAAAATCCCTTAACTTCTGTTTTTCCTGGAATGTTTTGATTGAACCATCATATTTGATTGACAGCTTTGCTGGGTAGAGGATTCTTGGGTGGCAGATTTTTTCTTTCAGGGTTTTATATATGTCTCCCCATTGCCTTCTTGCTTGCATGGTTTCTGTTGAGAAATCCGAGTTTAATCTGATTTGCTTGCTGTTGTATGTTATATTTCTCTTTTCTCTAGCTGCTTTCAAGATCCTGTCCTTATTTCTGATTTTGGAGAGCTTGATTATTATATGTCTTAGTGATTGTCTTTTAGGGTCTATCCATCCTGGGGTTCATTGAGCTTCTTGAAAGCTTATCTTTTCACTTTTCAGTATGTCAGAAAAATTTTCTTCCAGAAGCTCTTCAACTATCTCCTCTGTGGACTTGTGTGATTGTTCCTGTTCTGGAATGCCAATATTCTTATGTTATTCCTCTTCATGTTATCCAACATGAATCTTAGGCTTTCTTTGGATTTTTTTCATCTTTTGTTGTATTTGTTCTTCTATCTTAGTAGTGTTGAGAGATTTATCTTCTAGCTCACTAGTTCTGGCTCCTATCTCTTCAATTCTACTCCTTTGCCCTTTCAGTGTATTGTCCATTTCTGATATTCTATTATTAATCGTTTGAACCTCTTTCTGTAGGTTTTGAATTGTTTCCAATGCTCTATCTATCTTATTTGATTGTTCCTGTAGCACTTTCCTGACTTCTTCCTTATTTTTCTCAACTCCATTGTATAGTGTTTTGATACATTTTATAATCATTTTTCTGAATTTCTTCTCAGGCATTTCCAAAGCCTGCCCATCTTCCAGTATGGAGTGTAGGTCTACTTCCAGCTTATTTGCCTCAGTCACTTTATCTTGTTTCTGGACATGTGCAGATATGGTCATCTGCTTCTGTTTTTTGGACATATTCAGGGGTTATCTGTGGCCTTAATACTTAGATGGGTATGTATTTTAGTATTTTTTATGCTTTCTGATTGCCTCCAGGTAGATGTGACCAGGAGATGGGCTTCCCTTTTCAATCTTCTTCTTGAGAAATTTCAAGATGCCACCGTTGGTCACTGTGATGTAACTTAGGATTTAATTTTCAGCCTATTTCCTTTTTTATCTGCTTGTCCTGCTCCACAATCCCCGTTCAGGCCTTTTTTCTAGTTGTAAACAGTTCAGGGCTGGCTGTGGCCATTTGGTTTTAATTGGAAACTGTCTCTTTAAATTTCGAGGAGCTCTGTGTGCATGTGTAGTAAAACCCTCCAAGGGTGGGGCTGGGGTGTCCACTAGCTCAGGCACCCCTAGAGTCACCAGAATGGAGGTATGCTGGCAATAAGGGACCAATGAACAGATACCAAAAGAAAAGAATGTCCACACCTCTATCTCCACAGTTCTGTCAGGCTTCCGTAGCCTCTCCTATCCTTACCCCTCTTGGTCTCACCCAAGATGGAGGCTCCTGGAACAGCTGAGCATCACAAACCAGAAAGCAATGGATTTCTTGCTTCTGCCACAAACTCCCCCGGCTATAAGTCTTCCAACCTTCTAAATATTCCTTTATATGTGGTTCAGAGATCTGGGACCATCCCCTGAGCCTGTTTTGATCCTATATTCTGTGTCATTGCCAGCAGAGCTCCTCACTGCACTTCCACCCAATCCACCATCTTGTTTGTTCTCCCAGTTGTGAGGATTTTTGCTTTCTTTACATTGAGGTGCAATCCATACTGAAGGCTGTGGTCTTTGATCTTTATGAGTAAGTAATTTAAGTCCTCTTGACTTTGAATAAGCAAGATTGTATTATTTGTATATTGCAGTCCTTATTAA